CACACACACACAGAATTAAGAAAAGAATAGTGGGTGGATAGAGAGAGAGAGAGAGAGAGAGAGAGAGAGAGAGAGAGAGAAAGACTAATAATTTTTTGACAGCTGGTGATCACATCATTTTGATGATGATCGTAGTATTTATAAATCGCATTGTAGAATTTTCGTTTTTTTGTTTTGTTTTGCTATATTCAATTCATCCTCAGCCGCCCACAATTTTTCTTTTTTTTTCTTCAACGTTTTTGTCTATTTCATTTGATAATAATAACGATGATGATGATGATGAACAAAAAGATTTATGCGAAGAAAATCCATGTTTGATTTTTTTTTCTGAAAACTTATTTTTCTTGGATCAGAAATTTTTTTTAAACCAAAAAAATAGCCAATCCAACAATTATCTCCTCAGAGAGCCAAAAAACTGAAAACAACGACAATGTTGATGATGGAATGTGAAAATTTTTTTCCAATTTTTTTTCAAAGTTTCTCTAACTCTCTCTCTCTCTCTTATTCGCTCTCCCTTGTTTCATTTTACTAAGAATCTAAAAATCTCCCGCCAAACTTATTCGTCATTTGGGGCTTTGATTTTTTTTCTTTCTTTCTTTTGTACTTGTGCGATATTGGTTCATTTAATTCAATATCGGTCGGATCATGGACGGAAATCGCTACGAATAACAAAAAAAATCGAGTGTGAGAGAAAGAGATCTCGATATTCCAATGGATAAATTCTTCAGGATGAACCAGCTGGCGTTTTTTTTGCTCCACTCTTTTACTTTTTCCAGTTATTTCTTATCAAATATTTTGTCTTCTTTTCATAGTTTGATTTTCATTTCTTTTCTTTTCGTTTTTTTTGTGCATGGTAAAATTGTTCACAAAATGCGGAATACCTCATTTTCAATTCGGCAAAAACGAAACATTTGTCAGACACGCGGTTACAATTGTGAAATAATAATAAATTGAGTTCATTAAATGTTTCGTATATACATGGAATTTAGATTGAGTTCATATATATTACACACACACACATTACACCATATCACAATTGAAAAGAATCACATCTAGACATCCATATAGATCGTTGACTGAAGAGCAAAAAAGAAAAATAATTCAAATCAATTATGAAATTAGCATCTGAAGAGGCAGTGAGAGAGAGAGAGAGGAACAAAGATTAGTCTATTATTTTGATTTAATCTTTTTTTTCGCATTTTCATTTTGTCGTTTGGCAAAAGAAAAAAAAATACTTCGGGAATGTACGTGTCTTTCAATACTAATCATTATTTGTTTTTTTTCCTGTTTTGTGTCTCAATCCAAAAGGAAGAGAAATGAAAACAATTTTTTTCAATTTAAAATTTGAATGGCAAGAAAGAAAAAAAAATATATAATTTGATATAATTATTCACAAAGCAGTCAGAACAGAATTTCAAGAGAATTCAAGAAAAATATTAAATCTTATCAAATGTATCGAATTACGAATATTTTTTCAATCGATCGATCTATCGATCGATTTATAATATTTTGTTCGGTCGAATAGTTGTTGGTTGTTGTTGTCGTTAAAAATACATGTATGCAACCAGTTTATTTATTTTTTTTTCTTTGGCCATCAATAACATACATAAAAATGATGATGATGTTAATGATGATCATATTATGATTATGATGATGTTGATGATAGCTAGTTTTTTTGTTGTTATTGTTGTTGTTGCCGTTGTTTTTCGGGTGAAATAGTTTTGATTCTCTATTTTGTTATGCAATGTAACTGATCAAGGGAAAAAAATTTGAAAAAAAAGAAAAATATGAAAAACTTTCTGCATACGACAGATATAGCTTTCTCTCAATATTTATTTATCGGTTCTCTTAACAACAGATGCGATTAATAGCCATGTATACCGATCGATGTTTTTCTTCTATTTTCTTTTCGATTTTTTTCGTTGTTGCTTGGTTGATGTAGTAGTGATTGGAAAAGAGAATAGAATATTCGGTAGATAAATAAATGAACAACGACAACAACAAAATGGATATGAAGAATTTGTAGCATTATGCAAATGGTCATAATCATCAATCGATTTCTTTTTTTTTCTTGCAAAATCTGTTATTGTCATACTTTATCCTTTTTTATTCTTTATTTTGATAACCAAACAAACAAAAACATTTAACAAAATCATTTTTATAAAATTGATGATGATGATGATAATCCTCCATTAATAAATGATTCGAATATATTTGAAGTTTGTATTGATCATTCAAACACAAGATGGCAGAAAAATCAATTTCCAAATCAAATTATTCCATGGAACAAACATGTGTTTACTAAAACATTTTTGTATTAAATAAAAATAAATAAATCCATCAAACGTGATTGGATCAATCGATCGATCGTTTCAAGTGATCTTTATTAATGTGTATTTGTGTGTCTATGTACAACGGAAAGTGATCACGTTTTTTCTTCACATTTCCAATAATCGAATAATGTGCGGCATATTGTTCGTGATCATTGATGGTTCTGATCTAGATTCAAATGTTCGTGATGAGTTGATAAATTATTATTCAATTTTTTTGAATGATGTTCATATCAATTTTTACTGTTTAGATATTTAATCGATCAAAAATCAAAGAATTTCTTCGACGTCGTGGTCCGGATCAATATCAATCATTTGATTTTATTTATAATACGTTTCAATTTCATTTGGAAAGTTCCGTATTACACTTACGTGGTCAAAATAATTCAGGTCGACAGCCATATTGTGGTCATGATAATTATAACGCTGATTTTCCTTGTTTACAATGGAACGGTCAAATATTTCGTTTAATTGATGATAATAATCAATATAAAGCTATTGATGATTCTCGATCAGATACGGAAGAATTATTTCGTTTGTTAACAAAATCAGGCGAGAATGTTGAAGATATTGTTCTCAAAACACTTTCATCTATTCATGGTCCATTTTCATTGACATTTTGGAACCAAACAACCGAACAATTATGGGTGGCACGTGATTTAATCGGTCGACGTTCATTATGTTGGAATACGAATATGTAAATTTTATAAATTTTATTGACAAATTAAACTATTATTGTTTTTTTACTATAGGAGAGATAAATTTCTTATAATCTCATCGGTCGCTCATCCATTCGAAAATGATGAAGATCTCAGTCAAAATCATTCTATATGGGACTCATTGAAATTCGAAGAAATTCCTTCAGATCGAGTTTTTTGTTTCGACATGAGTGAAAACAAATCGTTGGAACAAATCTGGCAAGATTTACGACAATTTTATTGGCCAAAAACTTTGGCTGGTTTTCATATCGATATTGATGGTCATTATATTTCTCGTATGCCAATTATATCGATGTTGAACATGGAAATTCCTTCAAGCGAAATTGATGATTTATTAAAGATATCAAACATATTTAATAATGAAGGATTTGTTATTGATATGAAAATTTGTGATAATTTTCTCCGTGTTCTATCGGAATCGATACAAACACGATGTAAAAATCATCAAAATCGATGTAAAGAATGTATAAATTTTGACGAAAGTGATTGTAAACATTCAACAATAGCCATTCTATTTTCTGGTGGTTTAGATTCAGCTGTATTGGCACGAATCGCTGACCAATTTGTTGAGCCTAAACATCGACCAATTGATCTTCTAAATGTAGCATTTGATTCGAAAGCATCAGATCGCAAGACTGGAATTGATGCATGGAATGAGCTTTGTCACCAATGTCCTAAACGACAATGGAATTTTGTTCAAATTGATATTGACCGCAACGAATTAGAATTATATCGTAACAAACATATACATAATCTGATTGATCCGAATTGGACTATCATGGATGATTCGATTGGTTCAGCAATTTGGTTTGCTACTCGTGGTCAAGGTATTCTATTATCAAATCATAATTCAAGTGAACAAGTGGAATATAAAAGCCCTGCACGTGTTGTCCTTTTGGGAATGGGATCTGATGAACAACTTGGCGGCTATTCACGGCATCGTCAGGCATTTCAAAAAGGAAACTGGACATCATTATTGAATGAAATACGCATTGACATCGAAAGGATCTCAAGCCGTAATCTTGGCCGAGATGATCGTATCACTGCTGATCATTCAATCGAAGCAAGATTCCCATATCTCGATGAATTGGTCATAAATTTTCTCAATCCATTACCAATATGGCAGAAATGTAATCTATATTTGGAACGTGGTCATGGCGAAAAATGGTTATTACGTAAAGTTGCTCAAAATTTAGGCCTACAAAGATCATGTCAAAATCTAAAACGTGCCATACAATTTGGATCAAAAATAACATCTCATCAAAATGGTGGTGTAAAAGGACATTATTCATATCAAAAATAGCCTTTATTTTTATAAAACATAAAATTTTCATTAGCACAATCATGGATCTGTATTTTTGTCATCATTAATAACTTTCGAATATTCATTATTTAAATTAACATTTTGATTATTCAATTTTGCTTTTCTCTTTTTTTCTCGTTTAAGATAAATGTAAGCACTAATGACAAGTATGATCAGAATGACTGCAATCGAAGTTATTAACCAAAAATTACCTTGTCGTAATTTAAATCGATCTAATCTTGGATCATATTCTCGTGCTTGTTGTTGTAATGAAGACACAATTGACTCTAAACCTTCGTAAACATAATTTCTTGAAAAATGTTTTTCGGTATTTTCAATGATACTTTTGGCTTCTTTTGTTCCTATCACATTTTCGGCTTTAGAACCCATTGAAATGACAATTTTATTATATGCCAAAAATATTAATACATCATGATGACAAGTTTTAGCAAGATTCCATTTTAATCTAGTTCGTTCTGCAAATTGTTCAACTGATTTTTCAATACTTTGACTATGAGATGAAAAAAATTATTTTATTTCATAATTTCAAATTTAGAAGAAAAAAAATCAAAATTACTTACTTTGGTGACAAATTTATCGCACGGACTAATGCTATTTTGATTAATAAACCATTTGGGTTTTTTTGGGGACATGGTGGACATAAACAAGCTGTTTGATTTTGTTTTTCATTGATTAATTCATCTAATTTTTTTGCTAATTTAATTAATCCGATAATAATTGTTTAAATAAATGATTATCATATAAATATTTAGGAATATTACCATCTTCTGGTTTGATTATATTATCCGGATCACAAACAGAAGTTGGTGGATTTCGAAAACTTCCGGAACATAATTTAGGATTTGTCATTAATGATGGATATTCTTCCGGTTTATATTGATATACAACACCACCGGCTTCTTCATCGCCTTTGGTGGCCAGTAATAATGTTAACCAAATAAGCGACACGATCAAACATTTATTGAATGTGTTTGATAATTTTAAATAATTAGATGGCGTTACAGAATTACTGATACAGATTTTCATCTTATTTTTTTCAAAATAATAATGATATAATTTTAATTTGATAACGTCGCATACATAAATTTGTTTCGAATCGAATCTTTCGGTCGTTATAATCATAGTTGTTGATGGTTTTTTTTTAATTTTAACGAAAATCTTATGCGATTAAAATTGTAAAACGAAATATCAAAGGAAATTACTTTATTATCTGTGTAACCATGACAAAAAATGAAGATGTTTGCAGAAGTCAAGTGTTGGGTGTTGATCTTAAATTATATTTAGAATATAAAAACGAAACAAATATTACTTTTTTTATAAGATGGGTTGTGTTTACTTGGGATCTATGATACAAATTTCTGAAAAATAGGAAATAATAATAGGTGATTTATGGAGATTTGGACAAAGCAATATTGGATTAAATTAGATTACTCAATTTTTTTGGATAGGGATTGAAAAAAATATCTTTTTCTTGGATTCACCATTGTTATATGAACGATATGGATATAAAATTGTTACTTACTTGATATGGATTTCAAAAAAAAACGTTTATGAGATGGAAAAAAAATGGAAAATTTTAGGTCAAAATTCGCATCCTATTACAAGAAAATAATACATTTTTTTATTGTTGTTTTTTAATCAACTATTTAGAATTGATTATTGTATCATTGTATTTTATTCATAGATGAAAATTTGTCACATAAAAAAACTTGTTACTTTATTATTTTTTTCAGTAATGAAGAATATTTTTATATTTTTTTCCCCATTATTTTTACTATTTAAATCATAACAAGCATAAATAATATGGTTTAAGCAAATAACAACAATCAAATTTTGAATTTTTTTTTCTGTCAATAAATTATTCAAAACTGTTTAAATGTTTCGCTCATTCAAAATCAATAAATCATTTGATGATTTTTTTAGCGTCGTTTTTTATTTGTCTATTTTTTTGATTAATTGATTGATCATATTGAAATGAAATTCAATTGATTCTAATCTTATCATTATTTTATTGAATTCAATATGCTTCTGATTTGTTTGATTGTTGATTGGATGATGATTGATCCGCATATTATCATTGATCATAAATAAAAATTGGTAATTCAATATGTTTTTAACTGATACGATCAAAATGAATGATTAGATTGGAGACAAATTTGTTGGCCAATAATTGTATGATTTCAAAGATTAAAAAATTAAAAAAAAACCTCTAGTTCATTAAATAGAATTTTATTGTCAATCAATTTCATTAGATAAAATTGGATTCCAGTGTCAGAATTAATTATACAAATATATTTGCATTGAAAAATGATTAATCAATCTGTTCCAAAGTATTTTTGTCCAAAATGATGAGGAACCACAGGATGAACTTCGGTTGTTTGTACGATCATTTCATGAAAACGTGTACAAATAGAACGTATGGCTATTATGAAATTTCGATCGATTATTATTATTATTATTCAATTGTTAGAGAAAAATAGTGAAATGAAAACTAACCTTCCGGTGTAGTGAATAAATTAACCAATATAATATTCGATTGTTTAGCTCCATGTTTAATCAGTGTTTTTACCGCTTTAATCACAGTATTTCCAGTGCCCATAATAGGATATAATAATAAAACTTTTCGTAATGGTAGATCAGCCGGAAATTTACTATAAAGAACAGATGCTTGATGTGTTTCATCATCTGATTGTATTAGAATTTTTCCAATACGTATCGCACGACAACAATCACGTAATGCTTTTTCCATAGCTTCACCACTTCGTACAATTGATACGCCACAATTCATTTTAAGAAATTGTACACCATCATAATGATCACCAGTTGGTGTTTCAATCGATCGAGTTGTGTATGGTAAATGATTAAGACCTTCTTCAATTACGATACGAATCTAAAAGAAAATTCAATCAAATATAATAATCAAATATAAAACCATTGTAGTTACCAAACGATCAGCGTTGAATATGAATTCATCACGTGGTGTATTTCTTAAGAAAAAAAAAATTTGAATTTTGAAAAAAAAATTTCGAAATTTTTTTAATACAACTAACTTGTTTCGAATAAATGTTTGCAATGAAACAATATGATCATTTGATTTTAATACACGAACATTTGGCACTGTTGTTACCATTTGTACATATGAATTTGGTATAATCGTTTCAAATGAAACATTTTGTAAAGATCCAATTAATTCATCCAATTGTTTAACACGTTGTAAATCTTCATCACATTCAATAAAATCATCCGAATTATTATCGGATGTTTCATCACCAGAATCATCATTCATGTAATTATTATCATTATTATACATTAGTGTACGAAATTTCATCATATTTTCGAATGTTGTACGGGACAACATTGATGATGGACGTGATAAAAGAAAATCTCTCATTTTGTTTGATGGATCAATAGATATATTTGAATCACGGTGCATAGATTCAACGTTATTGACTTTTGATTCATTCAAATCGGTTAGTTCTGAATCACGAACTAAATAATCCAATGTTTGATTTGCAAGACAAATTGAATGACCAATTGTTTGGTCCAGATCAAAAAAATCATTTAACGATTCACGATGATGATTCGATGAATCTGTTGATAATTTTAAGGATGATGCCAAAGATATGGATGAAATCTTTGGCTCTTTATTTGAGTAATCAAGAATTGAATCCGTTTCCAAATGTTTCACAAACAACACTAAATATTGCTAAACGATTAGGCTTGTTTTATACCGATGTTTCAAATAAAAATTCAAGGTGTTTAAAGGATTGGTGGAAGTATACTAGAAAAAAATCATGCCACAAACACATATTCACATGTACCGACAGTATAACTATATGTATCCAAATGTTATATGAAAGTAGCAAAAAGTTTATCCCGCTATCATATTCTCTTCTATATCGAAAATTTTATCTTTTTTGTTTATAAAGAAGTGAATTCAGATCACACAATTTTTTTTTTGTCTATATATTTTGTGATACAATGATATTACCAAGAAATCAGCGACATCTAGTTTATCGAAGTGTTAAAATTATCAACATAAACAACTTCGAAAGCTTATTAATACATGTATTCTGATATCGGCTGTTTATTTTTCTTCATATTTTTTTTGCCTACACATGTATTTGGAGCGTGTTCGTTTATGTTTCTTTGTGTGTGTGATGTGTATGTATGTTTCATCTAATAATTATTCTAATTAAATTCGAGTTTTATTTCTGGATAACAAGAAAAAAAATTCGATTCCTAATTGATTATTTCATTTTGTTTCGACCAAAACCAATTGAATTAAAGTGATCAATAATGATGGCATCAGCATTATCATTAGCAACAAATATATCAATTTTTGCATCAAGAAAATCAATACTGTTTCATTCTAAATGGTTTTTATCGAAACGATTATTATCATCAACACCAGGAATGGTAAATAATGGCGATGCACGAATTCGTCAAGTAAAATTGGATTCTGATAAAAATAAACCCAAACCTAAACCAAAGTGAGTAAAGAATTTTCATATTTATCATAAATTATTTGAAATTTTATCAATTAAATCGATATTTATGAAGCCTAAAGGTGACATTTGAATTAGATGATGGTCGTGAATTGATTGGAAAAGCCTGTGATGGTGATACATTATTGGATGTTGTATTGAATAATGAACTAGATCTTGATGGATTTGGTGCATGTGAAGGTACATTAGCATGTTCTACATGTCATCTGGTCTTTTCCCAAGAAGATTTTGATCGTATACCAAACAAAATTACCGATGAAGAAATGGATATGTTGGATCTTGCATATGGCCTTACTGAAACGTAAATCATTTCTTTTCAATTAATCAAATCTAATACTGTATTTTTTATTTGTTTTTTTTCGATATCCATTCATTAGATCACGTCTTGGTTGTCAGATCTATATAACAAAAGAATTCGATGGATTACGAGTTAAAGTACCACCAGCTGTTAATGATGTTCGTTTACGGTGAAAATAACTACAAAAAACAATTAACTAACCATAATAACATGGCTGTTATAATACAATTTATGAAATTTTTTAGCTAAACGTTTACTCATTTTTTTAATGAAAAAGAAAATACTATTAGCACAAATCAATTATAATTTATTTTTCTACAACAAAAAACTATAAATTTCATACAATTTTTTCTAAAATAAAAAAAAACCAAACATATCAAATTTCTATGAATGTGTATAATGTTTGTTTTTTTTTCATTTCCATTTTATCACTGATTTGAATTGAATCACAGTGTAAATAATTGAAAACCCCCCTCAAAAAAATTGATCCGAAATTATCAATCAATCATATCATGAATATGAATGAATGAAAACATCTTTTTTTCAGTAAAAAAAATTAAAAATTGAGAAAATTTAAATTTTAAAACAAAAATTCCAACATCGTTGGAACCTGCAAAAATATTAAAGCTAATACTTTTTGTTGTGGTATAGGGATAACTAATTTATTGGTTAAACAATCATTACTTACCACTACAACTTGATATTGGATCATGAATTTTCTATACAATATTCGATGGAGAAACAGGATTCAGGTAGAAGCATTTTTGTTTGTTTGTGTCTTTCTGAAAAAAAAAATATTTCTATGCACATGCATCTCATGTATTATGTTGTGTGTGTGTGTTCCAGTAGAAAATAATAACAAAATTCGTATATATTTTTTACATTTGAAACGAGAAGTAGAAAAAAAAGAAAATAAAAAGAATCCAAGTAAAAATATATACAACACGTACTTTAACAAAACAACATAAACAAACGACGTAGTTTGTGCGTAAAAAAAAAGTGTTTTTTAATCTGGTTTTCTGAAATATAGCTGTCAGTATTGAATGTCATAATTGTTAATTTCTTCGTTTTTATTTTGTACGAATCGAGTGTGAATCAAATTAATTTGGAAAACAAATTGATGACGATAAAATTGTGATTTTGTTTTCTTCGCTTAAGAAACAAAAGGATTGTATGACAATAATAATGTTGATGATGTAATACTGTCGTGTTGTATTTAGATTTGTATTTGAAAAAAAATGATATCATCATGATGTAAAAATGAATTTTTGACTATCAATTAATCAGTGATTGTGTATATAAATAACATTAAATGATATTGGATTTCGATTCAATCAGTATAGAAAAGAAAGAGTATTTTTGTTTCTATTGGTGTTTGTATTTTGTTAAAGTGAATTAATTCATTAAAAAAGAAAAATGAACAATGTTTTGTTGCTGTTGTTGTTTTCGCCAACCATTTTATTATTGACAAAAATAATATTAATCTGATAATCTTTTTGTTTTGTTCACGATTATTTCTTGAGTGATTCAAAGTATTTTTTTCGAACTACGATTAGTTGATTCAATTATAAAATAATGGATTTAAATAAAGATCAATCTGAACATAATGATCCTTCGATGGTCAAGGATTCCAATCAATCCGTAGAAAACAATGATATTGATGAAAAAAATTTAAAATCCACACCGAAATTGATACTATCATCTGAAACAATAAGCGAATGGACATTAGTATATTCGGATTCGAATTCATCCATTTTTGATTCATCATCAACAGCGAGTAGTGATGATCATGAACAAACTTCAAATAATATTGATAAAAATCCTGATAATTATTTGAAAATTAAATCGACCAAATTGGATGATAAAATTTCCTCGACAAACGATGCTATGATGGATCCGGAACAACCAACACAAACTGATCAATCATCTAATGAGCGAAGATATTCCGAAGCATCAACATCGTCGATCATTGTTTTGAATGAAAGCGATGATCAAAGTGATGATCAAAATGTTTCAGAAGCATATGATGATAAACGTGGCGAATCGATGAGACAAATTGTTGATTCGGATAGCCGACAAAGACGATCATCGATCGATCGTATATCGACGACAACTTCATTGACTTCCAATAGTACAGCTAACATAACAACAACATCCGATTCTGAAATCAATTCAGATGATGAAGTATTCGTTCACAGTGTTCATCAAGATAATAATAATCTTAAAATTGATACAAATAAATCAGAATCCCAAAATCATACTGAATCCATGTATAATAATAAACATTCGGGTAATAAACAACAACAACATCATCATCATCAACAACAACAGCAACGATCACGAAATAATAATCATCATTCGCAACAATTACATCGACGACGAAAAACATCGGTCAATGGTAATCAATATAGAACATCATCGAATACGATTAGACGAAGACGAACTATACATGGACAGCCACAAGATGTTTCAATCAATCATCTTCATCGTGGCTCTGCTATTTTATCGCCACCAATATTTTTATTGTCTGATAATTTGAATCCAGATGTAATGATGATGGCCAATGATGATCAGGATATTGTTTTGGTAGATAAAGCTATTGATGATGGTGATGGTAAATCGATTTATTCCAAGCATGATCCAATGAACAATGTGTTTATTAGCGATATGAATGATCATGATTCATTGATGACAGTTTCCCTTCCAGTATCGTCTATTCTTTCCTGCTGTTCAATTGATTCAAAGCGCGAGCAATATCTTGCCAAATATCAGGATGATGACCAAGAGCATCATGCTGATCTATCAAATTCAGAATCCGAAGAACAGTTACTGGACCAGTAAGTCAAAAGTGTTTACAAAATTTGCATCTGTTTAATTAACAATATTTTTTATCATTAGATATGATATTCCTTTAATGGCTGCAAAAACTAATCGAATACGAGCATATTTTCATCAACCAAACACTGTATTAAATAGCAAGCTTAATTTAGCATTAATTCTTTCATTGACTGCTGTTATCGGTTTGGGTGTTGGACATTTTCTTGGTTGGTCAACGATTCTTAGTCAACATAAACAGCTTTCATTGGCACAAGTGATGAAACTAAAACAATTGCAGGAAGATTTATTGGCTTGTATGAAAGATCAACAGATTCATCTTTCATCCGAATATAGTTCGGATGTGGACCATAATAAAGTAAATCAATTGATCAATTTTACTATTGACAGATTAATTAGACTTTTATTTTTCGATTAGGTCTGTGTTAACGATGCCGATTATTGGACTGCACGTTTTCGTTCATTGTTTGATGAAAATCAAGGTTTAAAAGAATTGTTTCAAAAAACTCAAAAACATTTTGCCGAAAATCGTTTTGATTTCATAATAGATGATAAAGAATTCAATAACAAAAATACGAATGAAGAATTCCATAATCTTAAATTAGACCTACTTATCAAACAAATGGAACATTTAAAATTGTTGGAAGTTTTGGAGAATATAAAATCGAAAGGTAAACAAACAGAGAAACGTGTTCGAGTGTTGGAAGAAGAGAATCAAGATCTTAAAAACAAATTAGAAGAAGAAGAACAGGATGACCGTGTGATGGCGGAAGATTATAATCTACGTGTAGCACAATTACAAGAGGAAAATCAAGAATTACGCGATCAATTCCGTATTGATGAAGATGAGGATGGACGTTTGATTAGTGAATTGCAATCCAAAATATGGCTATTAGATTCTAATAATCAACAGCTACGACGATTGTTGAAAAATTTGGAGCGACAAATTTCCATGCATAATGACAATGATGATGATGAACCATTGACAATAATGAATACAAATGATGATATTGAACAGGATTCAATGGAAAAAGAGCATTTAAATGAAAAAAATAAATATCAATCATCGCCGGAATCATTAATCATCAATGAAAATGAATCCTACCAACGATATAATATAATACGACAACGTATAAATCAATTGATGTTGGAAAATGAAGAACTCAAAGCTAAAATTGCACGATATCGTTGGACAAACGGTGAACAACAATACAAGATGAATCCATCATCAGCGACAGCTTCAACAATTAATCTTAATGATAATGATCGAGAACAAGAATCATCATCTTTATATAAACAACAAATGGACCAACTAAAAATTCGTTTGACTTTAATGCATCGACAATTGTTATTATCACGTGAAGAGAATAAGAATTTGCGAAATCGAAACGAACATCTTGCCGAACAAAATAAACTATTGACACTAAAGCTAAAAAAACGGAATATTGATAAATTTTTCAATCAAGGTGTTCCACGTCATGATTCATCATCAGATGATTATGATTTCGAAATTAATGATCAAGATGATAATGATGATAGTGTTGATGATTCAATCAATAATGATAATGATGATAATTATGGCCATCAAATATGGTCATCATTTATGGATCAAATGTCTGATAATTATCATCGATGGTCGAAAAAATTGAAAAAACATGGTGCCGATTTAGATGGAGCCAGTTCAAAATTATTCAATTATGGTAAAGAATTGATGCAATCTACTATGAATGGTGTGCAAAAAATTTCCAAACAATTATTGGATAGCTATCAGCAACAGCATCAACAACAACAACAACAGCAACAGAATAATAAAAAAATAAGTCCAGATATAATGCTATATTTTACTGATCGTTTACATGATTTTTCGACAATAATTGAAAAAGGTTTACAATCGACAGTAAACGAATTTAAATCAGTCATTAATTCAGCTACAAACATGTATGCCAATGATAATTCTCGTGAAAATCGTAAAAGAAAAATGATGAAAAAATTACGAAAAAAACTTCGCAAACAAAATAAAGATGATGATGATGATGATAAAAACGATAAGGAATTCATTATTAAGAATAAGCAATCATCAATACATCAACAAAATGATGATTGGTTAATGGATCGAGCTGAATCACGTGAAAAGGCACGAACAATACGAAAACAACAGTTTCAGGATTCAAAAGAAAATAATTTAGATTGGCAAACAAGACGTGCAAAACTTCGTGCTAAATCTCGAAAATTATAAGTTTTCTTTTCGTTTTTTTTTTGTTGTTGTTGGAACAAAATATTAAAGATCCTGATTCCAAATATATACTTTTAATATGCCTATTACCCTAAATAATTTTTTTGTTTGTTTCAATTAAAATATAATATTCATGTAATCACTTAATCTTGATCATTCTTCCTATTCATTTTTCCTTTATTTTTTTGTGTTGATCTATATCTATATAATACCTATTTGAATACACACACACACACCTACACATAACGTATATATACATAAATACATATAATTAATTAATACTAAAACCCACCAGGTATTTGATTAATATAAATGAAGAAATAAATAATTTTTTGTTGTTATTGTCATTTAAAATATTAATAAATATTTGGATTTATTCAAAAAAAAAATGACCAAAAACATTAATCGATATCATCAGTTTAATACACGAAACAAAATGGAATTTTCAAATTTCATTATCAATCTATAATTGTTCGGGCAAAATATTTCCGAAAAAATTGAATAAATAAATGAAGAAAAAAAAGGAATGGAATGATGAAATTCATTGCATTGAATCAAATTAAAAATTTTTTGAGTATGGAAAAAATTTTACAATCTTTGACTAGTGTCGAATATTGATGATAATAATTCAAACATTATTTCAAAATGAGGATTGGAAAAAAAATTAGCAAACAATCAAATAAACGAAGGAACAAAGAAAATATGCTGAATGAACAATAATAAACATATGTAATCAGCATTGATTGATAATGATTTTGTGATGATGATTATTATATTTTGAATATAAATCTTTTACTTTCGTTTGCTTGTTGGAATTTATAATACTTCATCATATCCCAGTGAACAATTACGACCATTCACGACGCATCAAACTAGCAGTTGCCGTACTTATAACCGGACCAAATAATGGATTCATCTGTGACATATAGGTGACCAGCCACATTATATAACAACATATTGTGCCTATCAAAGGATTAATCGATGTGAGAAGTAAACAATTTTTAAAATTGAACATAAAAAATATCTTTTAAAACTTACTCATTACAATCATCAATTTGACAATTTCTTTGTTAGGATTTTCGGGTAGAAAAACAGGCACACCGATACCGATGGCCGCAAATAGACTGGTAAACAAGATGATTACACCGAAACCCATTTTTATTTTTCAATGTTTCTTTTAAAAAAATTTTTCTCTTTATATCGACAATGTTGAATAATCAATGAAAAAAAGAAAAGAAAATCTACAATACCAATGACAATGACCAGTTGTATATTCACCTTGTATTATAATCGAAATATTATAAATACTTTTAACTATGTTGTATGTATTTTAAAATGATCATCAATGTTAAAACCATATAGAATGAGAGATTCTGCTCATGTAAACGATTCTTAAACTCATATATATTCAATAATGGATAGAATTGTATATTTTACGATGATGAGTCAAACCAACAAAAAAAAATCTCCAGAATTATAAAAACCTTTTTCATAGATTACAAGTATTCTTTGTTGTTCGATTTTGTTTGGCCAATCTTATCACAATATATCGATGCCCATTTCATACAATGTATGGCTTGTTCTTTGTCATTAGCTACTACCACATCACTCGTAATATTCGAAAACATCAACAAAATCTTTGGGATATGCTGCTATTATTTGGCAATATATCCAAAAAAGAAAAATTTCCAAAAAACATATAAATCGTAAATAAATACAACACCACTTGTATGATTCATACAAGATTTCCTTTTTTTCTCGATGCTTATTACATATGCTGATAGTTTTTGTTTTGTATTGTTCGATTTGTGTTTGTAAATAACACGGTCCTTGTAATAAATCTATGTATTGTGTAAAGATCTGGTGATAATCTTCATCATCATTATCAAAACAACAACAAAAAAGAATTATAAATTGAATAAGGCGTAGCCTAACCAACATCATTTTTTTCGTCTTCTAAATTTTTGTTTTGTTTTTGTTTTCAACATTCGATTTGCTTTTCTCTCATTTTTTGTGTATGTGATTGTTGTGAGCAACATCAAATATACGATATTTGATTTTCAAGATATTTACTTGTTGGCCAAAAATTTGTCATCAATTGTTCAGTAGTTTCTGAAATTGACTGAAATCATTTTGTTTCTTTGAATCATCAATACGAAAACAATGCCATCGGTAAATTATGCACGTTTGAAGACCAATCTTTCATTGGCCATACAACGTTTGAAATTATTGGAAAAGAAAAAGACTGAATCGGCACAAAAATCTCGTAAAGAGATTGCCGATTACATTGAAAATGGTATGATTAAATTATGAAATCTGAGTCTGATTTGTGAAATTTGATTTTTCGTTACACAGGTAAAGTTGAACGAGCTAAAATACGTGTCGAGCACATTATACGTGAAGATTATCTTGTCGAAGCCATGGAAATCGTTGAAATGTTCTGTGATCTTTTGTTAGCTCGATTTGGTATGATACAACAAATGCCCACTTTGGATGATGGTCTTGAAGAAGCAATTTCATCATTAATCTGGGTTGCTCCACGAATGTCGACTGATGTTAAAGAATTGTCAATCATTGCTGAACTGTTCACACAAAAATACGGCAAACAATTCGCTCAGGCAGCCAAAGAAAATCAACTAAAATCAGTCAATGAAAAATTAATGCTCAAATTAGGCGTGCAAGCTCCGCCGAAAATTTTAGTTGAGAAATATTTGATCGGTTAGTATCAAATAATTGTTTAATTTTCACTAATTTTTGTTTTGTTTAACAAAAAGAAATCGCCAAAACTTTGAATGTTCATTATGAACCCGATGAAGAAGTATTGATGGAAGATAAGAAATACAATCAAGGAAATGATGATAGTAAGCCCGGTGCTTCTGGTGGAAGTGGTGGTGCCGCTCAGCGACCACCGCCAGGTTCAATGTCAGGATTATTGATCGATTTGGCCCCTACAGCACCAACAACTAATGAGCCGCCACCATTGCCTGATATGCCTCCTTCTGGACCGTATGGTAATCTTGTATCCGAAGCTGATTTCCTTAAAAAACAATTGAGTGATGGACGACCACCAGAAATTGGTTTTATTGATTTGCCACCACAACCATTGGATGCCGGAGCTAGTGTTCCACCATCATATGAATCAGTGGTTAGTAATCAATCAACTAAATCGTTGCCGGCACCAAGTGGACCACCACCACCCGAAGTACCTCCTGCATCGGCATCAGCAAAACCAGAATTTAATTTAGATAATTTGCCACCAGTGTATAATCTACCTGATATTCCAAGCGAACTAGATGATTTTGGTACAAATAATAAATCAGTTCATGATGGATCATCATCAAATAAACGAAATGATGGTAATGGTTCTGGTGCCGGTGGTCAGGATGATGTTGATTTCGATGATCTTCGTCGTCGTTTTGAAGATTTGAAAAAACGTAATAACTAGTGTTTTCATAAAGACTTATCAATTGTTTTGCTTTTTGTTTCCCATTAATTTTTTCTTGTTTTAAACATATTATTCAATTTGATGCTGTTATTTAAATGAAATATTAATGAAATTTTCGAAAGCAAGAAAAATAAAATAAAATTTTCAGCCAACAACAGATGGCAGCATATCGTACCGGAAAAAAGTTTAAAATTATATCTAAATAAAAAAAATCAATCATTTTTTTCTGCTACCATCCATCGATATATAAAAATTGGAATTGGAACAAAAATTTCATTTGAATTCTTATTCATTAAATCCAACAATTAATAATGATTCATTGGTTGATCAAAGAATTTCAATATATTAATTATTAGAGCAAAAAAAAAAGAGAAAAAAACATTTTCCTGCAGCAAAAAAAAAATGTACAACATTATTGAAAAAGAAAAGAAAAGAAATATATTTATATATAAAGAAAAAACAAAACAACAGAAAAAACTATAGAATTACAAGAGAATAATGCTGAAGAATAATTATTTGATGAATGAAAAAAAAAATGAAGTTTGATGAAAATCGAATGAAAATCATTCGAAAAATATTGTTTGTTATTTTAAGAGTTGGCTTTGGTGGAAATAAGAGAATGTCAGAAAAAAACAAGATGTTGAATGTAAAATAGAGTTTGAGAGAGAGAAAGAGAGAAAAAAAATCAGAATGATAAATAAAGAATATTGAAATGAATTTACAGTTTTATTTTTAATTTTAAATAATGGATCAAAATATTCGTATTTTATTTGGCTTTTATTGGCTGGCTTGCATACTGATTGAGATTGATCGATTAAAAATGTTAGAAGTTTTTTGTCTGCATTCTTTAAAAAAAAATTTTTGTTACTAAACAGAAATTTTTCTTTTTCTTTTTTTTGTAATAAAATTCTATGGATCGTATCAATTTGTTTTGTTTTCTTTAGATTTTTTTTTCCATTTTAATATTTGCAAACAATCTAGAAATAGCAGCAGCAGCATCAACGACAACAACAACAATAACGTCAACAACATTAACAATTAGAAATTTTGATGGATGAAGAGAGTGGAAAAAAAAATGAAAACATATGCCCGAAAGCATAGCTTAGGGTTTGAACAGAATTTTTAGATGATTATTAAAAGAATTTATCATTTATATTTGTCTCTGATGTGTATTAGACAATTTTTGTGTGTGTGTATGTTATATAATATAATGTTATTCATTTGATAGATGTAAGAATGTAAGAAAGAGCAAAGAAAAAACAAAAAATTTTATATTTGGGTTTTGTTCAATATTTTTTTTTTGTTTCAAATTATTATTATTATTTTTTTCATCAGCCATCATTCAACAGCAAAAATTTTTTAAATATATAAAAAAAACAAATTTGTCGAAAATTTTTTTTTTAATGATGAAAATTAATAATAAAAACTGAATCAAAACAAATTTTAGATAGATTTAGATAAGATTGATAAAATATATCGAAATATAGATAGATAGATAGATAGATATTGATAGATAGCTTCCATTCGATTCGAATTCATTATAGATAGACACACATATAAACACACAAAGAGATAGTCAATGAGAAAATATTTAAGATTATGTGAGATCCGATGATAATAATAATAATAATGATGATGATGATATGCATTTAAGCGATAAAGAATGATTTGTATTTGTGTTTGTACAATTTTTGTTTTTTGTTTTTATTGAAATGAATTATCTATTTTTCTTTTTGACAATTGATTCTTCGAGCTGATCAATAAATCAAAGAATCAAATCATTTCAAAAATTCAGAATGATTATATCATTTTTGTTGTTGATTGTGTATATGTTGTGTTTGGATGAAAAGGTGTTGATGAATCGGTTACCGGAAAAAATTGATTAGATGATATTTATAGAAAATTTTTTATGGACGAGTTTTTCTTTTAACTTTTTTTTGTTGTTGTTGTTGCTGAAAAATTTATGATGAAAATGATGATTATTATAATGATGAAAAAATAATTGAAAAATGTGATTAAATAAGAAAACAAGTAGAGAAAAAAAAACTGTTGATCAAATTATTTTGTTGAATTTAATTATTTTCGATTTATTAATTTAATCGAATTCAAATGATAAAATTGTGCGCCTGTTTGTTTCGATTATTTGTTTTTTATATTTCTGCGCTTTATATAATAAATAATTATAATCAAATAGCCATAAGGTTAACGATATTATTAATTTGTGGGCGTGTGTGTGTGTTTGTCTGGACATTATTTTTTGTAATTCACATTTGTTAAATTAGTGTGTTGAGAAGAATTTAATTTAATTTAATTTTTTTTTTGATATGGGTTTTTGAAATTGACATAAAAATCTACAATTTGTATCAAATTGTATTCTATTGTAGAAATTTTGATATAGATTTGTAGCATTTTTTACAAGAAAATTTTTAAGGCGATTTTTTCTGCATTTTTTTCGTTTTTTTTGGTTTTTGGTTTTGGTTTTGTTGTTTATGCACGGGAATATTTCATTGATTTAATATGCTGTGCGTTTTTTTTATATTCAAATTTTGTTGATAATGATGATGATGAATATGCTGAGAAAAAAAACACTATCCAAAATGTTCAATAAATTGAAGAAAGAAAATAAAGAATTAATTAATAAATTTAAAAAAAACGAAACAAAACAATTTAACAGATACAAATAGTAAATAACAATCAAGAATTGATCAATCAAATTATCGTTTTGTTTGATTTGGCTTTACATTTATTATTTTTATTTTTTTTTCGCTGAAATGAATTCATTGAAAAAAAATTCAATTCATATTTTTGATATACGAACAACAGTTAATTCGGGATGTCCGGATGATGTAGATGGAATATTAATTGGATCATCAATCGATGATTCCGGCTGCAATGATGTTGTCGTTAAATTTGTTGATGGACCTCTTTGATTAATGATATTATTATTCTCACTTTGTGTCGTTAGATCATCGGAAGACGGTAATTGTGATTGACCGATAATTGTTGTTGTTGTCGTTGGTTGTGTATTATTTTCATTTTGAACATGTACTACAGTTGATACACTAAATTGACTTGTATTTGGTTTTTTTGTCATCGATGTTGTTGTTGTTGTGGATGGTGTATTTGAAGCTTTATCATAACCTATACCATCAGTTGATTGAGGCGATTGTTGTTGTTGTTGTTGTTGTTTTTCAGTTGTAGATGTTGATCCAAATGGAAACATGTGACTTTGTTGTTGTTGTTGTTGCTGTTGATTTTTTTGTTTTAATTTACTACTTGATTCTTTTGAATCTTCCAGATTTGGATTATTATTATTATTTGTTAATGTTGATAATGGACTTAATTCTTCTTGTTCGATAGCATCATGTTTCTAAATAAATAGAATAAATGAATATTCAAAATTCGATTATTGTTTTTCTATTGATTTACCTCATAATTTTCACTCTTTTTACAACAAGATCCTAATAATCGTCGAAATGTACTTTTAGTTGGCACAATTGCTATTGAAGTCACTGGAGATATTGGCGGTGTCGAGGATAATCGATTTGGCTGACCATTGAATGGTGCATCAAGCTCGACAAATTCTCGATCCTAATTTAATGATTTAACATAACAAAATTAAATAATCAATTATCCATAGAATAAGAAAAATTAAAACCACTTACTGTTGTACGTTCCAGACATTGTAATAGATGATGATGTTGAAGCTCGAAAATATCTTCCGATGTGGCCCCATTTTCCATTAAATTATTCTCCTGTGCAGCCAATCGAGCCTCAGTTTCTTTCTTTTTACTTAAAAATGCGGCACCGCTTGTCGCTTTGGCAATTCGTATACGAGCCATTCGTGCTTTCTATTATTTTTTTATTTTTAATTTTTAGTTTGAACAAATGTCACAAAAACCCCGATCAAATACACCGGTATGAATGAAACAGTATGAAAAAAATACATGAAACGAAACAAAGCAAAAATTATTAGTAATCAATCAAAAATGATGATTCTATTTGGAAAAAAAAGTTTGCTGTTGTCATTTCCATTATTATTAATGATTGAATTTTGTTGTTGTTTGTTATTTTCTTCCAAGTTGATAATCAATAAACATATAAATAATACTCTATTGACTAATGATAATCAAATCAATCATTATTAAATTAAATTAAATTTTGTTTTCTAATTTTAATCAATCATTCCATTACTAATTGGTTTTTCAATGGAAACTTTACTATTATAAATAAATTTTTATTATTATTGTTTTTTTCATACAAACCTTTTGAGCTTTTCGTTTATCAGCACGTTGATTTTGATGATAAATACGAGAAAAATTTGATACAATTACGGGTACTGGCAAGGCAATGACCAACACACCGCTTAAAGAACAAACACCACCGACAATTTTACCGGTTATTGTTGCCGGTACCATGTCACCATAACTATATTGTAAAAAAATTGAAAAAAAAATTAGATCAGAATATATGAAGAGTAAAAGAAAAGATTGAAAAAACACCATTGAAAAAAGCATTGATTTCGATTATAATCATTTCAATTAGGATTTTTTCCAAATTGCACAACCAAAAAAAAATCATTGAGAATGTTATTTGACATTTACTTATTTTATTAGTTTTTTCGAATCATCAAATATGTTCAATATACAAGAAATATATTAAACAAAATTGAATATAGGAAACCTTATAATTACAAAAATTATTGTAAATGAATTCAAAGAAAATAACGGTGTAAGAAAAATGTCTGAATCAGAATCATTGAAAATTTTGATTCAGGAAAAAAAAACTGAAAAATTCATCTTGATTATTATGATGATGACAATGAAAACCAATTGAACAAAACCATTTTTTTCAAATTCATTTCATTTTCAATTTCAATGGCAATTTTGTTTTTTTTTGTATTTGAAAAGGAAAATGATTTCAATAATTTTATCAACATTTTTTTCCTAGCATTGTTCATCAAAATGAATACTGTGTGTGTATGATTCTCATGTGGCATCCATTTTATTTGAAGAAATTTCGAAAGAATGGATATTGTTACGAATTCAAAGTTATTCTTTTTTTTTTGCTGCAGTTGTTGTTGTTGTTGTTGTTGTCCGGTCTGGCTTCATATGATTAGATTGGATTTTTCTTTTTCTTTTTTTTTATTTCTTTCTTGCCAGATGCCTAGCAGCAAAAAAGAAAAAAAAATTCCTGTCTGTAACAGCAAAAAAAAAGAGAAAATGAAAATGATTTTCACCATTATCCAAAGATTCTATTTCAGTTTTATTTTTTTTTTTCGTTTGCAGAAATGTACCAACAAAAAAAAACAAAGAATTTGTTCTTCAAACACAATAGTAAAAATATGAATGATTGTTGTGTGTACCGTTGTGTGCGTATGTGTGTGGTGTGATGTGTGATTCATATGAATCAATTTCAAACTTGATTCATATTTCTTATTCTTTTTTTTCTGCCACGTTTCAATTTTTTTTTCTTCTTCAAACTCTCTTATAATGCTTATGTAATATTATATAACGAGATCCGGAAAAAGGAGAGAAATTTCTTTTCTCTACTTTTTTTCTTGTCGATTATTCTTTTGTCATTTTTCTAATTTTATTTTTCAACCAGAAAAAAATAGAGAGATGGATAGAGTGAAAAAACTCTCCAAGAATCTATTGATGTTAACGAACAAACGAAACGTAATCGTGATCATCACATATGACATACAAAACACATAACTATAGCAGACCAACCAATAAGATTCTGTATACACAATATTAGGTATTGATGACGATGATAGTAAAATGAAAAAAAGAATATTTTTTTCTCCTTCTTCTTCAATTTTTCAATTCTTCACTTTTTTTCAGGAAAGAAGAAAAAAAATTTTCCGCTAGAATCGTGATGAATTTTAAATTTGATTTAAACTTTTTTTCTTTTCAACTTTCTATCTCAATTTTTTCTTTCAGCATTTTTTTCTTCACTCTTTTCATTTCGTTTCGTAAACTCTATTGGTCGATTATTCTTTTTCAGACTTTTCCTTTGAAATTTAACTATCATTTCAAATTTTCTAGATTGCTTGATAGCGCAAAAAACGCATCCAGGTCGACATATCTACATTTTACTTGTGGATGAAAAATAAAAAGAAAAAGAAGCCTGAACAACAACAACAAAAAAAAAACTTTTCAATCAGGTTTAGATTTTTTTTTCAATCATCAAATCGGTTTTCTTTTTTTTTTACATCCATCCACTTTATATATTTTCTTTTAAGTGATTTCAATTTGCCAAGCGAAACAGAAAAAGAAAAAAATTATGAAAATTATAATATATATTCTTATAGGATGGAATAATATTTTTTTTGAGAAATAAAAAAATCTGTGACTTGTCACATCATCTGACAAAACAAGCATCCTGTCTGTGTGTGTGGTCTGAAACATATATTAAACATCGATTCATGAAAACAGATTGAAAATCATTGAAAAAATAAAATCGGTAAAAGGAAAATAGAGAAAAGTAGAATTTAAGAGAGGGAGAGAGAGAGAGGAAAAACGTCGATTAAATCAAACATTAAACATCAACAAATCTTTTTTTCTCTTCTTCTTTGCAAATTCTATTTTGAATGGAAAATTAAACTGATGATATCAATGAATGAATGAATGAATGAATGATGATAATGATGATAAAATTAGAAAATTAAGATACATAGAAAAAATTTGACAGCTAAGAATTTTAGGATTCTATTTATAGATTATGTAAATTTCTTTTTATTCTATAAATCTTCATTCCAACAAAAATGTGCATATGAAAAAATATATTTATAATTAATGAATATAAATATATGATGAATTCTATTCGGAAATTCAATGATGATGATGATGAATTATTATAATTTTTTCCTATCATAATGATAATTATTATATTTAATTTTCAATTTGGTTGATAATTCAAATTTCATTATATCATCTGATTCTATATGGATAAACTCTTTTCTAAAGAATCTTTGATTTGAATATTTAAGCTATATCATTGTTTTATAAATAAGCTGGTAGTAAGATATGGAAAAAAATCTTAATTATTGAAAACAATTTGGCTTTTTTCTCTGCCAACAACAAATTGATTGAAATGAGTAAAAAAACTGATGTGCGGAAAACAACCACAAATTGATTCAAAAAAAATGTTATATTCATTTTTTTCTGTCTAACACAATTACAATTTGTGTTTGTGTTTATTATGACGTCATAATTTTCATCATTCACATTCATCATTAGTCGGTTGAATTCGGTTATTATTATTATCATCATTAATTACGGATTAAATACACATTTTTTTCTTTCTCTCTGTGTCTCATAGTTCTTTATTTATTCTTGGTTTCACAAAAATATATTTATGATTATCATCATTATGATCAATTGTGGTGTAAACTGAAATTAAATTTTGTTATTTTTTTATAAATATTTTACATAGTTTATGGCTTTTTTTTCTCTTTTAACAATCGACCAAGTCAAATCAATAAACAAACAACAACAAGCATAGAAACAAAAAAAAAATGAATGAAATAAATTTAAAGCTAATGTTATTATCATTTCTTTCCGTTTTGATTCTATGAACAAAAAAACAACGTAATAATGTAATGAATGTTGAGAAAAAAAGGGTGAATTTTTTTTCGGAAATGAAATTAAACAATGTCCGGAGAAAAAGAAACCAAACAAACATGAAAAAAAACTGAAAATTTCCCAACCAATCTGAACCCCGTCGACTACACGAAACCAGTTATGAAATAGGATTTGGATACCGAAAAAACAAAATGTTGACGAAATTACATACATTAAAAACAAACAAACAAAAATGCTAAATTACATTTAGATTCAATGATTTACGATAGAAATGGTTGAATTCTAATTCATTTTGATAATATCTGCTCATTTTATGTTACACTTTTATTCAAGTCATTTTAACAAAATTTAAGAAGAAGAAAAAATGGAGCAAAAAAAGTAGAATAAAAAAAATTCTGATAATAATGAGACCCGAGCATGAAAATCTCTTAAATGATATTTATCATTTTCCTAAAATTTTACATTCATTTTGGCATAAAAATGAATTCTTTCTTTATTCTGTGTTTATGCTTCAAACTTAGAGAATTCGTATCATCATCATCATCGTGTTGTTTGGAATAATCTGCCTTCACATAGTTTATTAATAATTATTGGCATAATTAATGGCAATTATAGCCATGCCCTCAACCAAACGATATACCATTCGTATAAACATACACACAGAATATTCTGAAAAAAAACTAATTATTGATGGTTAAATTGAGTCAGTTCATTATTAAGTCAATGTGATGACGACTAAATTGTAACGATAAGCGAAGCCAATATGAAAGCCAATGGTTGATTTTTTATTATTATTCCATTTTTTGTTTCAACCAAAAATCAAAATGAAAATGAAAAAAAGTTTGTTTTTCTTCATTTTCATTCTTTTTTTTCTCTCACACTTTCTTTTTATGTGTGATTCGTTGTTATTGGATGCGGCTTTATTTTTTTCACCCCTATTATTCTCTAATTTCATTTAATTTCATAACCAATATCATACAATGCCTATGAATGTATCTCAATGATGATTTATATTAATGATGATTAATGCAGATTTGAAATATGAAATTAATGAGAATGGAAAAGAGATTGAGTGAAAAATGTATTCGGTTTCTATTACTTTTAAAAACAAAACAATGAATGTTAGCAACAGCAAGTGTGACCGGATTTTTTTTTTCATTTTTTTTTATTCTTTCATTTTATGCTTGTATTTTCTTTGCCTGTTTTTTCCATTTAATAGATTCGATGACAAATTTCAGAATCAAGATTTGCTGTAATTTTCGGTTGTCGTCATTGTTTTTGTTGTTGTTGTTATGTCAATACATATGAGATACATACAAATTTACACAAGTTTGTTCACAATATATTGAATGAATGAACAAAATAAATAAATGAATCGAAATATATAACAACGACCATAACGACGATGACAACAACAACAACAACGAATTTCAATTCGCTGCTGATCAATCATCAATCTCAATCACAATGAATAAACCAATGCTGCCAATCAGGATCCTTAAAGCAAATAAATATATAAATATAAATAAAGAGATTGAATTGAATTGAAATTTTTTGTTTTGTTTGGTTTTATTTCAAATATATAATGTAATTTTTCAAATATATAATGAAATTCAATTAATGATGTCATTTGTCTAAACATTTATTTCATGTAAATTTGTCATGACGAAATACAAGGTTTTTTTTTCTTTGCTTTTTTCTGTGTTAGTTAGAACAGATTTATGATGATGGTGATGATGAATGTCGATCGTTAGCTATGAACAAAATTGATAAACTAGATTGTTTGTTACAAGAAAAAAAAATGAAAGAAAAAAAGAAAAATTCTTTTTTGTCATCACA